TGTGTGTGTGTGTGTGTGTGTGTGTGTTGCGACGCGGACACGTGCATTCGCACATGTGTGTTTGTATGTGAGAGAGAGCCTGTGTGTCTGTGTGGTCTGTTGGTCGTGCAAGTGTTGTGCATGTGACTAAAGGCAGGTAGTACGGGATTTAGGGGGGGAAACAATGCGGGTTGTCTACTACGCAGCAGACTGCCGCGGACACATGCGGCAGGCCGTTGAAGTGGCACAACACCACCTACACAGGCCACGCATGCGACCTGAACAGCTCTCGTACCACATCAAATACTCCTATATCCTGTCCGTCCGCAGCTACGACCCCTTTGAGCTACAGAAGCTGCAGGCTCTGCTGAAAAGCGGCTCCGCGGTTGCTGAGCTGGCGGCAGCTGGAGAGAAGCTGCTGGCAGACCAGGCGGCGGCGGGCGTCGGGGCCGCAGCCACCAAAGCTCACCTGCAGGAGGTGTTTCAGGTGCATGCCCGCCTGATAGATATGGGTTTGGGTATCGGCACGCGTCTCGTGCAGCACAGGCATGGCCCTGGTGTATAAACAGCTGCACTGCCGCCGATCGCCCGCTGTGCTCCCTTTCAACCCAGCCCCCAGCAATCGGCCACGCCCCCGCTTCGCGCCAAAGCATGCGCGCACGCGCCGCTCCACCCGCCCAGCTCCCGGACAAACAGTCTGCTGCCCCTCCCTCATCGATGCACGCGCGCCATCTTCCTGGATGTACGACGCTGTGACGCTCCTTGATCACCACAGCATGCTATCCTTCCCCTCAAACACCGGGCGCTGCCTCACCACATTGTGCCGTCCCTTACCTCGACATGTGACACCCCGCCTTCCTCTCACCACAATGTTGTACAGCAAGCCCTACCCTGACACTAACGCCTTCCCCCTCCCTCACCACAGTACTGTGTGCTGCAACTCACCCCAACATAGCACACCCGCCCCCGCCCTTACCGCGGTACATTTTGCTATGCCGTACCCCAACATATAACACCCTCCCTCCCCCTCCCTCACCACAGTATGCGCTCTGGGGCAACAAGACCGACCTCTCCATGCTGGTGGACGCATCGAAGCTCGACGTCAATGCGTCAGTCAAGAGCGCGGCCCAGGGCGCGGGCGCGGCGGGCGCCCTGATCCTTGACCAGTTTGAGGACGTGTGGGCGGGGCTGGAGTCCAAGGCTGCGGGTGGGGGCGCCTGGTGTTGGCAGGGTATCCTGCAGGGTGTGCCCCAAGTGGGGTCAAGGCGTCCGCGAAAATATGAGAGTGTGTGTGTGTGTGTGTGTGCGCGCCCGTGTGTGTCCTGGTGCGAGCGTTGTTGCTGTTGCTGCTGCTGCTGCCGCTGCTGCCGTTGCTGCCGCTGCCGCTGCTGCCGCTGCTGCTGCTGCTGCTGCTGCTGCTGCTGCTGCTGCTGCTGCTGCTGCTGCTGCTGCTGCCGCTGCTGTTGTGGTGCGGGCCACGGGCTTATTTTGTGTCGACGTGCGTGTTTTGCACGCATAGGGGGCCAATCCATGGGCCGCATCTCACGCTTAAAATATCCAGTGCGTGAGGCTGCGCAGCCTCACGAGTCAAGGCAGCAGCTGGAGTTTTACTTTTTGCACTTTTTTTCCTCTTGATCCCCCCATCCTGCAAACCCCGCCACCGCTTTCTAACCACACCTCCATCGCGCCGGCCCTGTTCCCCAAAGGCGGCCGCGTCGACGTCATCCTGGACAACGCCGGACTGGAGCTGTACACGGACCTGCTGCTCGCGGACTTCCTCATAGAGTCCGGACTGGCAGACCAGGTGCCTGCCGGCTGGCGTCGCCGTCACATGCTCGCTGCCGCTTCTGCACGCCGGGCCCGCTGTTGGGTCAAGCAAGCGAGGCTCAGGCGACACTTGAGGCTTGAGATCAGCTTGGTCATCAGCGGACGCACCGCGTTTGCTTTGACAGCGGGCTGAATGAGTGCAGACGCTCTCCAGCGTCGCATGGTGTCTTGCAACTTTCGTGGCCATCCAAATTCCAGGTGCATCTTCACGGGAAGCTGCTGCCCTGGTTTGTGTCTGATACCATGGAGAAGGACCTCGAAATCGTGCTGGCCGCGCTCGAGGGCGCCGCGCCGCCGGAAGGCATGCAGGCGCGCCGGCGTGGCCGCCTCCTGCCCGCTCTGTGATGGGCTGCGCGCGTGCGCGTGCGCATGGGGTGCGGAGGGCATGCGGAACACGTGCTGTGGGTTCGCTGCTGCCGGCTGTCATTCCCAGGCTGTCTGGAGAGAGGGCACGCACAGTGCATCTCAGCCACGACGCACACCGTCAATCCTCAGTAGATCTCTTCCTCGCCTCCTCGCGCCGTCCCGCTCCGCCCCTTTCGGCGGCCCAGGTGCAGCAGCAGCAGTGGGGCCCGGTGCAGCGGCTGGCGCAGCGGTGGCGCGGGCACCTGGCTGCGGGGCGGTGGGTCTACAAGGACCACGCGTTCTGGACGACACCCTTCCCTTTTTGGTGGATGCAGCAGGTGATACAGACAGAGTGTGTGTGTGTATGTATATACATATATATGTGTGTGTGTGCCTAAGCTGGGGAGAGGTTCTTAATCGCTTGAATGGGGGTCTTTGTTTGCAGCGTCCCCGGCGATCCAAGCTCCAAAGCACGCGTGTGCGCGACGGCCGCCGCCGCCGCGACACCTGCCGCAACCCTGCGCGCGGCGCTGCTAGCGCCTCAGGCAGCAGCCCCTGCCGGCCGCCTGCGCGACGCTAGCTAGCGATGCCTTGTGGCCCGGCATGAGATCCTTCGCGCCGTCGATGGCGCCGCTCGCAGGTGTCGCCCGACTTGTATGCTGACCTGGCGGCCTCCAAGCTGCTGATTTTCAAGGGGGACCTAAACTACAGGCAAGCGCACATGCCCACCCCTGCGAATGCATCGCTGCACGACGCGGGGGCCTGCGTAACCGGGGTCAGCCCGTCGTTGTGTGCTCGCCTGCGACTGTGCCTGCATGCGCCTGACGCAAAGGCCCACGAGGGGCTGCAGCCTCCAGCCACCGCCGGCTGGCAATGCCTACAACGGACTCGAGCAGACAAAGGGCATCAGCTGGTGGACCAGGCCCTTGCCTGTCATCAGGCCCACACAACTTCACATATACAATGTATAAAAGCATAATATCAGGGTTCTTGGTCACACACAAAAAGAAGGTCAACTGTTAATTGCCCCTCCTGCTGATTCATCACGCCCGCAGGAAGCTGGCCTTTGACTGCCGCTGGCCGCTCGACGCGCCCTTCACGGACGCTCTCGGCCCCTTCCGCCCCGCGCCGCTGGTCACGCTGCGCACGCTCAAGGCGGACGTGATGGCCGGCCTGGCGCCGGGGCAGGGCGCGGCCCTCGACAAGGTCGACTCGCAGTGGCAGGTCAACGGCAAGTTTGGTGTGGTGCAATACGCGCCCTGAGCGCTGCAGGGGGTGCGGGACGAGTGGCTGTGGCTGTACAACTTTGTTTCATTTTTTCCTGGGACGATTCTGGGATCATGACGGGGATCCCTGTTGTGAGTGTGCGTGCGCCGTGGCGCCCGCCGCTTGTGTGATTTCATGGTGTGGCGTCCTGGGCTTGTCTGCACTGCAGAAAGGTCGCAAGCGGCTCGCTTGCACACAGGTGCGGCTGCTTTGGCTTTACCATGTATTGGGCAGCCAGCACCCGCCTTCGAAGCATCGACTCTTGATCTCAGAGCGCACTCACAGCGACTTGCTGTGCAGGGGGTGCTGTAAACGCGCAGCATGCGCCATGTACCCGCCCACTACGGTAGCATGCACATGGATTTATCCAAGGGGGCAGAGGGGGTAGGCAAACATGGCAGCATGCAAACGGCGTCGGACGACCGGCTCGGGATGACATACGCGCGCAGTTGCGCAGCGTCAGCGCAGCGTTCGCTCGAGCAAGGCCGGTGTGCAGGAGTTGAAACCGACACAGCCACCTTGCCACGCAGCTATGCTATCGGTGTCCGCTCGCCACCGTCCAGTGTATCGACCACAGTCACAAGTTGCATCATAACATCACAACCTAAAAGCCTGCGCCTTGCTCCGTCGTTGCGCAGCACCTTCGCCTCGGGTCCCTGGCTGGGTGGCAAAGGTCGCGTTACAAGCGAGAAACGGAGTTGGCTCCTTTTCGGGAAGGCGGAACTGGCTGCTTGAAGGTGAGGTGACCAGGGGTGATCTTGGCACCCATTTTGGCAAGCAGTGCCTGCCGTTTTCACCATGAGAACCATGTCATGAACATCGTGATTGCATGCCGCCGCACCGCCTCATCGTGATGGCCCCGTTGGCTCCATTATTGACACGCTTGCTGCTGCGCCGCGCGCATGCTGCTGCTCCCTGCCCTGCAGTGCTGTCAGGCTCGACGTTCATCAACAGGATTCACAGCAGCAATCCGCAGCCATATCCTCTAGAAATTGTCGTCGTCTGGCAGCCGGCTGAGGGGCAACCCGACGCCGCAGCCCGCCCGTTGCTCAGGGCCCGACAACAGAGCAGGCGCTCCCTCGCTGCTAGCGTCAGCGGGCGCCCCGCCCACAGCAAAGCGCCCGGAGGCGGGCCCGGCGGCGGGATGGGAGGCGCCCAGTTCATCGGCCGCGTTGTCTCAAACCGTATGCAGAAGACTGTAGTGGTGGCCGTCGATTACATGGCATACCTGCCAAAACTGAAGATGTACGAGAAGCGCACCGCCAAGCACTTTGCACACGCGGACCCCGGTGTTCTCGGCTGCGAGCTGGACATCGGGGACGTCGTCAAGATCAAATGGACGCAGCGCATGAGCAAGCACAAGAACTATAAGGTTGAGAACGTGCTGCGGAAATCGAACGTTTACACACCCGAGCTGGGCGCCGCCGCGGTCGCCGCACGGGAGCAGCCGGGGCGGCAGCAGCGGGACTCTGTGGAAGTCGCAGAGGCGGCCATGGCCGCGGCTGCGAAGAGGGTGCAGGCCCTGAGGGCGGCGTATGGGCAGCAGCTCGCCGCCGCCGCCGGCAGCGGCGGGGGCGGCGCGGCC